CAAAGAAGGCATCTAAGTGAAATTGAAGTAGCAAGAGCCGTTACACTATTACAAGAAGGACGTTCGCAGAGATACGTAGTCCGCTTGCTTCAAACAAGTCAACCAACGATTCATCGAATGTGGAATAAATTTCAAGACATAGGTATTATCCGTAGAAGACCATATACACCACGAGAAAGAATAACTACACCCCGACAGGACCGCCAAATTGTACGATTATCCCTACAAAATAGGACAAGAACAGCTACACAGATAAGAAACTTACATTTTCAGGCCACTGGTAGACGCATATCTCTACAGACTACACGTAACAGACTTCATGAAGCCCAACTACACTCAAAAAGTCAAGCTATTGTTCCTCATTTGACACTAGCTCATCGTAGAGCAAGAAGAAACTTTGCAGCAGAACATGTAAATTGGGATATTCGTCAATGGAGCCATGTTATTTTCACGGATTAATCAAGATTTTGCCTTTACTCCAACGGTGGAGGTGTGAGAGTCTATAGACGCCGTGGAGAACGATTTTTGGATTGCGATGTAAGAGAAGTAAGAGCTTTTGGCGGTGGTTCTGTAATGGTTTGGGGAGGTATTCAATTGAATGGGCGTACACGCTTACATGTTTTTGAAAATGGCAGTCTAACAGCTAGGCGTTATATCGATGAGATATTAGCACCTATTGTCGTTCCATTGACTTATCTAGAAGGCCCTAATTTTGTTTTACAACAAGATAATGCAAGGCCCCACACTGCAAGAATTGTTCAAAACTTTATTGAAGGGAAAAATCCTACTGTAATGGAGTGGCCAGCCAACAGCCCAAACTTAAACCGCATTGAACATCTTTGGAGCATCATGGGAAGAAGATTGCGGGATCGAAAACAGCCAAATAATCTACACGTGTTAGCAGTACAACTTCAGGAGGAATGGAACAATATTCCCCAAGGAACGATTCGTCAACTAATTGAAGGAAGGTATACACATTATTAGTTTTTGTTTATTTTAAAATTTTTTGTTATTAATAAACAATTTGCTTTATTTTTAACTTTTAAATTAAATGTACGATAATGTTTAAAAATTAAAACTAGCACACTCTTAAAGACACATACCTAAACTATAAGAACACAAAATTTAAGGTAAGTATCTCCTCTCTTTTTGAAGTTATAACAATTTAAATAAGGGATACATATTTCGTTGTGGCTAGATTAGTTGTAAATACATATTTTGGTTGTGTTCCGTTTGTATTTCATTTTCTTTAAGTAAATTATTTAAAACACGTAGAATTCGAATTTGCAAAAAAATCCATCCGAATCAGAGATAACCAGGAGATGTAACTACTAACAAATATCGTGCGGCCGTGAATAAGACATATTCTAAGGGACACAGTAGGACATAATATCCGGTGTTGTCATTGTTAGTAAAGTGTATGTATTAAAATATTCGCTCAAGAAAACGATTCACTTCCCACTCTTTTGTCACAAGGCTGAATTTTTCACAGATGAAAGGTCATGATAAGGTAACCCTTATTCCGGAGTTAATACAAAATTAGAGTGTGCAGAAGGGCATTATCATCAAAAATCCAGATATTGATACCACCGAATAGAGAAAAAAATACTCATTTTTTGATCAAATGCACAATAAAATCTTTGTAGGGAGTAATTGTTCATGCTTATTTAAAAAAAATCATTTGCATTAGCACTTACGGCCGAAAAAAAATATAAACGTAAATATCTTGGTTTTAGCCCTTCAAAAATTTAGTTAAAAAGTCGTCTTTTTTAAATATACCACTCATTTAACAAAAAACGAAGGCCTGAATGAAAAAAAAAACATTCTTTATAAAATTTTTGCTTATGTGTTGACAAGGTAACAGAGTAAACACCATATTTTTTGCTTTTGAATTAACAAAGATATAACAATAAACGATGAGAGATGTCATAGGTTTATGCTGTTATTAATTCTCACCGCCAAATTTATCGACTCTCAGTGTATCTTTCTCTTCACCTTCAAACGTAGCATAGCTCTGTTTCTCTCTACGTGCCGGCTGATGTATCACATTATTGATATGGTAGGATTTTTCATTTTTTTTTATTATAAAACTTCTCGTTATGTTCCATTGGGCAATGTGTCATATTGTTATCTGTTTTTACTAAAGAATTAATAAGTGTAAGTGTTATATATTAAATTACCTAATAAATTGGGAAAAAGTGTATGTGTTATATATTAAATTACCTAATAAATTGGGAAAAAATATAGACATTTTTGCATCTTTATTATATCTACATTCATCCTGTTGCAGCTGAATATATTTGGGTAAGTTATAAGTTTTCGTTTAAAATTTTAATTACGGATTTGTTGCTGCAAAGACAAAAATTATATCAAAATAGGAAAGCCCAAAAGTTGCATATCGTTTAAAGAACATGCTCATTTATTTGTAAACATTATTTTTAGAAATAAATTTAATGTTCAAATGATAGATGTGGTATTTGATCATTATAAAGGACATTCTATCAAAAATACAACACGTCAAAAGAGAGGATTTCAGAAATCAATTGATATAGAAATTGACCGACCCAATATTTCACTTCCGCAATAATAGAACTTGTTTATTCATTCGATATTTAACAAAAGACGTTTAACACATTTTTTGCTAGAGCAACTTCTTCAAAACTCGCGAAAATCAATAAATATGGAAAGAATTTTGAACCATCAAAAGACGATTTTTTAAATTCAAATCACGAAGACGCTAATAATCGTATCTGATTGCACATATTGTCAGCCAAAAATTCGGGGCATTCACGCTGCATTATTTATTGCAACGATACAGATGTCTTATTAATTTATTTTAAGAAGTTTTTGACTAAAGATATATGGTTCAGAATAGGGCGAGGAGACTCAAGACGATTTCTAGCAGTACATTATTTAAATTTGGATGAAAACCTTCTAAAAAATGTGCCTGCTTTTCATTCTCTGACCGGTTGTAATACAACCAGCTAATTGTCCGGCATTGAGAAAAGAACCTGTTGGAAATCCTACCTTGAATACCATTACTTTTTGGATGGATTTGGCATTGATCAGTACTCTGAAAACATATTCTCTAATCTTGAAAGAATTTTCATAAAAATTTATTCAAAACTGCCAATGTTACTTCCATTAACATTTTGAGGGGATTATTGGCCTCTTCAAAAACCATCGCTAAATTGCCACCGACTGAAGACGCCCTAAGACTACATTGTTTAAGATGTTTTTACCAGCTAAATATTTGGCTAACCTCTTTAAACCCAGATGCAGATTCCTAATGTTGAAGAGTATGGATGTAAAGTAGATCAAGATGGAAGTCTGATACCCACTTTTAAGACTCTGCCCGACCTCCACCAGACATAACAGAACTTACATCATGCAAATGCAAAAAAGATACTATACAATATTCTAATAATAATATTCTGTTCTAGACTGTGGAAGCAAAATTTGCAAATGCAGAAAAAAAATATTTGCTGTATCGGTTCCTGCACCTGTATGGCACAGCCGCTAATGTTTTGGAAAATATTGATTCGTGTGGTGAATCTGATTCTCTGATTAGTTTGAAAGTCGTGTAATTATAAATTTTAATATTATTAATTTATGCTTTATATACTTCCTTCCAATTATTATTATTATTATTATTATTATTATTATTATTATTATAATTTATTTATATTGGGGATTTATTGTATTTTGCAAAGCAATAGCCTTACTGTTTATAATTGATACTTCAATAAATACCTTCAATAAATACCTTCAATAAATAGTTTATATTTTCTTATTTTTCATTTTCCACCAAAAATAAAAAAAAAATCTTGAAGTAATTAATACACCCTATTATTCATAGTGGATAAATCAATAATCCCTGTATAAAATATTATAAGAGAGTCAAACTGATTGCATTCATTTCAATACTGAGATAGATGCATAAAGAGTCGAGAGGCTCTGCCTTTAATGTTTGCTTTCTAGTAAAACCATAACATCACTAATTATTTATTGCTACATTTTTGTTAATTTAAAAGCAAAAAATATGACGAAAGTACTTTTACCTTGTAAATACATAGGCGAAACTTTTATAAGGAATAGTTTTTTTTCATTTATGCCTTCGTTTTTCGTCAAATGAGAGGTATATTTCTAAAAGAACATTTTTTATACAAATTTGTAGACGGTTGAAACCGAGATATTGACGATGATTTTTTTTTCGATCATAAGGGCTAATGTAAATGATTTTTTTAAATAATTATAAAAAAAATACTTCCTACAAAGACCTAATTGAGCATTAGAACAAAAAATAGCCATTTTTAACCAAATTAGATGTAATTTAATTAAATTAGATGTAATAATTTTCAACAAATTCCAAAACCTAGTGATGTTAGATTGGAGGTGGCAACAGGGCTTACACCGGCATGGATATTTACGTTATGTAGTATAAGCTCGCGCAGTTATTCATTGATAAAACTACGTAAAATTCTTCACTCTATCCCTTCTCTTACTTCTCACCTTTCGTCGCCTCGTCCCGCGTCTAGAAATAGAATGTATACAGTACGAACTATTGTTGGCACCATGAATATTATATTTTATGAATGACTGCTTATATCTCTGTTATCTCTGATCCGAATACAAGGATTTTTAACACGCTACAACTTCGTTAATACGAGTCGTATCGACATGAACTCAATTTCTTCTCAACAACGATATAAAATATAAAATCAAATATATAAAAATTTATCTTTCCCATGAAACCATTTTACATCAAATTACAATAATGTATAATATATCACTGGATTCACCCAATGATTTCCTTTAATTTATGCTCTTCACATTTACTTTTTGAGTAGTTTTTCTTGAAATACCGAAAATAACACCCTACTTGACTTCACCGCAGTGCTTTGAAATTAGGTGCTAGCTATTTTAAAGTGCAATCACAATCGAAGAAAAGTTACTTAAATTTACTTTAATAAGTTAATAATAAACCCAAATCTACTTACCCCAAGAGTAGACAAACTCGCCCTTCCATGACCAAGTCTATCGAAATCGTCTTCGTTTTGCCAGTCCTGGCCAACCCTCGATCCTGTCCGCCTGATCCCAGTGGTGACAGGACTGGGACTGCTATTCTTCGAGTTATTCTTAGGGGTCGATGCGAGCATCGGCGATGAATGGGCCTCACTGACGCCGGATTCATCTGAAACAGAATAAAAAAATTGTAAATATTTAGCCAGTTTATGAGCATCTAATATTCTATTGTAAACTATTGGTTAAATAATATCTATTAATGTTTCACAATCTTTGGATTTGAAGGGCAGGTTCTTTTGCCTGAACGGTACGTTTCCCGGATATGACTCAAGTGGATTTTTACCGAATGCAGTCGAGAGTTACATAGGTGTAACCTCAGGTATAGTCAAAACTTGGTATCCAAGTATCCGAGTTCTTGGAATGAATGAAAGGCATTAATAGTCAAATCCTTCTCCGACTATGTTGACTATGTGATGGCCCTCTGAACAAAGCGACGCAATGAAACAGTGACGAATTAATAAAGGAGCTGCAAGAGTTCTAGCGCAAACTTTATGTAAAATAACATGGGAAATCGCAAAGGTTCAAAATACATTTTTTTGTCCATTTCAAGGTTAATAATTTCTTTAAAGTATTAAGACATTAAATACTCTTCCAGGCTACTGAGACATTTTCTACGAGTACCTTCTCTAAAAATAACAAAACATGTGTTCATTGTCAAAAATTGATTATTTGACTCTCTTGAATCTAAATGAAATTAACGCTTTGTCGCCATAGGAAATGGCACAAGATTACGAAGAATTATCTAAAGAATAGTATCACTTAATATCAATTTAAAAGGACTTAACCTGACTTGCTTGTGCTGCAAATATTAAATGGTATTCCATTTGTCGATGTCATCTAATATCAGACGATGGTAGTACAGATTGCAGCACATAAACATCTTCACGCTTTAATACATTTTACTAATGGATTTACAAAAGAAAAAACTACTGGTACACAACTCCATTCAAAAACAACTTTCATGAAAACAATTTGCGGACCATGCTGTTGGTGTTATCAGATACATCATCTGTGCTGATGGACAAAAGCCGCTTAGAAGGGATGGAGATGGTCTTAGAGGTACATCTCATTCTCATTACGATAGAAGAGTGACAACGAGATTGGTTACATTCCTAAGGAAAACAGTGTAGCCTTAGTACGCACAGAAATTTCAGAATTAGCATCTGAAGGTGTGAAAGTCTTAGAAAAATACACATCTGAACAAGAACTTAATGATACATTCACATGTAGATGTGATAGAGGTGCCGAAGGAATAAGGCGGAGGGAAAAAGCTAACGAGAAACGAAGAGAAATTTACAAAACAGAACGGGGAATAAAAATTAGGAATAATTACAGAAAATTACAGAAAAACAAGTTGAAAAAAAGTAACTAATTATAAGTTTACTGAAAATGGGTCTAAATAACAAAGCTGAGCTTCAAAGAAAGACAATTTTGAAACTTATTGAGTTACTGTAAATACTTAATACTATTACTTTAAAAATATAATTTTGAAACAAAATATATTTTATTTTCATTGTCCAATGTTGACTTTACCCTATTACAAATAACTTTCCCCCATTTAAATTATTAGCAATATTTGTCCTATCTTTACTTAATTGTCCACACCAACACTCTACTGTCCAAAGTGTACCTACCTATATATGACACAGATAAGTTTTACTTCGATTCTCAAAGCGTGACCTTGAAATGGACAAAAATTGCTATTTTGAACCTTGGCGATTTCCCATATTATTTTCCATAAGGTTTGCGCTAGAATTCTTGCAGCTCCTTTACTCGAATTATCATTGCCATACAAAATAGTGCACGTGCAGGACATTCTGAAGTGTATGAACAATTTTTACCACTGGTATCGACAGACTTTTAATTGCGTGTAACAGCAGCATTGCTAGACGAGATCTAGGATTACAGTCTATCTTCTTTCAATCCGCATAAAATATCTTCTTTCTCTTTTCCAATAATTGAGAACAAACAAATGATACGTTATGAATGAAATGTTTCATCTGTTGTTTATTTTATCGAACAGTTAAGAGATTAAAGCTTTTCTTCACGGAATCGTAAAACTGGCCGACTGTAATCAACCCAAATTCCCAAGAATGTTTACTATTCGGGATAAAATCTTCAAGGGTGTCTGTGTTTATATTAACCACATTAAGGCGAACGAGTTAAAAGAGATGCAACAAAGTTTTGAGGGCCGATATCATTCTAATTATCGCATTGTTAGAAAACGATCTGCATCGCTGCATCGTCGACTAATTGCTCTGTCGCTTTTATTTCTATTTTTATTATATTTTGTATTAAATATTTTTAGTTAATCCTTAACTGTGGACCCTCCTTTTAATTACATAAATAGTAACCATGAGTCTGACAGACTCCTAGTGAATAAAACAGTTTTTTTCAAAAGTTACGAAAAAAATAATTTGATAACATTTTTTTTTAAATTAATAAATCATTATTATTATGGTATTTTTAAATTTATTGAACAAGAAAACATCAAATTGTAAGTGTAACAATAAAAACATAAAAATGATAAATTTCTTGCATAAAGCAAATTATTACAAGTAATATTCCAAAAGAAATCGTAGTTATATTCAAATTAACATAATGTATGTGTAAAGTAGGTATATTTTTTATAAAAAACGAAAAAATAAAAAAAACAGAAAAATAAATCGTACACAGAACCTGCAGATAACAAAAATATACAAAAAAAATAAGTTTTGCTCTACCCTGGTACAGCTTTTACAAATTTATCGAGAACACTGGTTGAAGTGTTTTCACTTTATACCCCTACTGGAATGTTCTTCCATTTTCAAATGCTTCTGTAGAAAGGGTGTTCAGTAATTTTAACAAAATTAAAACTGATATGCGAAACAAATTAAATACAAATACTGTAGCCGCCTTGTTATATACAAAAAATGGAATTCAAGAGTGTGGGGAGTTTTAAAATTTGAACCCAAGAGGGAAATGTATGACACTAATATATGGCAAAAAAATATGAATGAAATGTTAAAAATGTAAAATTAAGTTTTGTTTTATTTCCTCAATTTATTTTACAATTTAGTAAAACTACTTTTAAAAGACAAAATAACTGCTTTAGGAGTTGCAGTAATGATATTCATTGGGAATATTGGGCAGTTTTGAAGTTTGTAGTTAGTATTTTGAATCTCCCGCCATTATTTAAATTTTGTTGGGTTAAGTTTTTTTTGGACCATCATTTTTATTTTTTACACGTATGAAGGAGTAAAAATGGCTGACAAATTGCATTTTATTTTTTAAGTAATCGGACACCGTTATTGAAAACTGCCCTGAAATGTTGAGGGTAAAATATTGAGTATTGCTTCAAAGATAACGGGTAAAAGCGAGTTTTATTCAAATTTCTCGCGGGTGATGTCAAAAATTAGATCGGAAACACTATTTTCGCCTGAATGTACACGTCCAATCACTGTAAATTAAAACTATCGAGAATAAGGTATATGTTCCTCTTAAGTTTTAAAAGATAAAATAAATTTCTTTTTATTTAATAAAATAGAAGATATTTTTAACCTATCACACCCGGACTAACATTCAAAAAATAAGCCTGTCGGTGTCAAAAATTGCAGACGACCCGCCGTATCGAAATAATTTAAAAAAAAATATTAAAATTAAATAGTTCCCTTTATGACTGATACGCCCGTGGATGTTTTCAATAGAGCCAGCCAGATATTTCATCTGCGTGGAAATGTTATTCCACAAGTGCGCAAGTGCTGTAAATTTTGAGTTATGTACTATATTTTACCTACGACCACGTTTAATAACGAATAAAGAAAAACATGAAAAGTCATTGTGCCTATAAGGCTTTTGCTTTTTATCGGGTAAGAAAATAAGCATTTCCATTTCACTTTCACATGCTAAGGTTAATTAATATATTTTGATTACTTTCACACTATCAATTATTATATATAATTAAAAATAAAGCAGACATTGATAAGAGTAACAAACAATGTAATTTTGATGATGTTATATGCAAATGTGCGAAATCTGCAAATTCCACCTTCACTCGAATAATTCGATCCCTGACTCCGAGCGCATCTCAAATAACAAGCACGTACCGTAGAGGAAAATAATATGATCACTATAGAGATTGTACGTGCTTTAGGCACTTTCAAAATGCTCGTTTAAACTGTCATTTTGTCTCGGCTCTCGGCCCACCTACAAAGCGAACAATAACAACTATTTGCCAGTCTTGAGTCATGCCAAGAGTTACTAAAGATGTTTATTTATACAGGGTGTGTATCAATTTATAGTTGGCAACCCTTCCCATTGCATTGGAAAATTTTATTTACATGTTGAAAATCAGACTATATATACAACTTATTTATAAAATAAAAACACCCCTTCCCGAAGTAATACATTCAAATGTCTCTTCCAAATCACCAATTTTTCATATGTGGTGACTACAATATGCAAGAAGCAGTTTGGTTTAATGCATATGGTGACTCAAGATACTGCAACAAGTGTCGTGCATGAGTGTTTTAGTTTTCTTAATATGTTTCAAGTAAATATGCTACCAAACAATCGTGAAGTATTTTTGGATTTGTGCTTTACACACTGTAAAGGGCTCAATATTGTGTCTGCTACAGATCCTTTGTAATCAAATTTTTATCATCATATTGCTTATAATTTTTCACTAATATGTAAGAATGATCATTCTTTAAAATACGAAGTATACTATCATGATTTCAGAAATACCAATTTCTTACAAATAAACTTCTACTTGAGTTCTATAAGTTGGAACAATGTTCTAAGTAGACACAGCATTGATATTGCTCTTGAACAATTTTATAACATTGTTTATGCAGCTCTTAATTTATTTGTTCTCGTGAAAAAGTTCAGATCTAGCAATTTTCCGTTTTTGTTTTCACCTTATCTTAAACAAGTAACTATTAATAAAAAAATAGCCCACAAACGATATAAGGAAACTAATAATTTATCTGAATATCAATATTTTTCAGAACTTAGACCAGAATGCAAGACAATTAGCAATGATTGTTACGAAAGGTACATTGAAAGAATAAACAGTAATTCTGGAGGTATCTAAATAATTTTAAAAATTAAATGACCTATCCTTCAAGT